CCCCCCTATTATACTGAGGATTAACTGCAGCTCTTAATAGTCCTGGTTGCTACTGCAGACAGGCACATTAAACTACTGAACATTTTCTTCCTTCTTCCGTCTTGTCTAAATTATTGGACCAACTGGTTAAAGCTGACCGGGACAATCGTTCCTTACATCTCCCTGGTAACGATGGACAATACCCGAGACGCCTCCACAACGGCATTGGTGCAGCGTGGTTTGTAAGCGATGACAGAAAGGAAGTTCTGTGGGCGGTATTTAGTTTCGGCGGTTAGCAAGTCAACCTGATACAGTATGAATAATGCGTACATGTACCCGTGCATGAATCAAGAAGGGACACCAACTTATTCATCACACATGCATTTCGTAGAACGTATGATACAGTAGAAAAGAAAATAACTTGTTCTTAGCTGAGACGTATAATGCCATAACTGTAGTATATACGTCTCTGGTCTTAGCTAGAGAGGGAATTGCTCTGTAGGAGTTGGAGTACAGCCACGTATTATCATTAGATTTTACTAACTAATATAAAAAAAATGGTCTAAATATAGATGTAAAATATCCTTGAATTTAGAAAACGTATTATCGATAAGATCATGAGAAAGGTAAGAAAACAAGTGTCTGTTGATGTTATCTTAGGATTATTGTGAAGATTATTAATTACATGTTGGGGTAATATTTCATCAAGTTTGATGAAAGTTGGTAAGATTAAATGAGTGGAAGAGTCTTGCTTGTCCTCTACACACAGTTACCCTCCGACATCACAGGAGGTCCCTCTTGATCTATAACCAGTGACCAGAGACGTAAAATGTATTATATAGGTCTCTGCAGTGACACAGTAAATATCCTAGTGCTGATACACGTGACGTACAATAACAGTTCTACTTGATGGTGCAGATTCCACCACAACAGCCTTACAGCATTGACTGTGCTTCAACTAGATCCTGTTTTGAATTTAAACATATCTTTATTTGCATCTAATATACAAAAGGGATTGGGCACAAGTTGTCCAACTTATATTAAGCCTTTTCCCAATAACATAATAAAATATATATTTACCTGTATGACAGTTTGATGCAACTATAAAACCATGTAATGTGTACATTGTATTGTAACTGCGACAACTGGTTTTATCCTCAAAACGACATTAATAGTTAAAAGTTATCTTTACTGTAAATATGTTGTGGTTGCAGTATTCATCATTGTAAGGAGAGAGGCTGTCGCAGGTTTTGTCCTATTGTGTGTAGGATCGTCACAGTTAACTAACAATGAAGTTCTGTGATTACTCTACAACAGCAACTACATGTATTTGGTCATATCATTTACAACAAATGATATCGCTTTTTCACAGTCAACAGCAACATTGGGTAAGTGTGGATGGTAGATGGTTGCAAATTCAAGCTTTCGACTGGATTTTTTCTTTTACCAAAATGTCAAGCTTTGAAATGCTGCAGTTTTGAACAATACGTTGCAAAGTTGGATTAATGTGGAACATATCTGCAGAAAATGACTTCAACCAATCAACATTATACCAATGGTAACAAGATGATTAAACTTGATGGTAATCTTAACTATTAGTGACAAATTCATCAAAGGAACAATAGCCTTGTGTCTCCTTATGATGTAGTAGACATTGTTCTACATCATATAAAAAAAAACAACCAGAGTCATGTTTTGTAGTAAATACATTGTATGATAAGTTTTATTTCTGAGCACAGAATAATTGTAACCAGATTTCACAAAAAAGTATCCTGGAATTTGGCTTCCATGTGGTAATATCTGAAACAAGTACATTAATCCTATTCATGTAGTATAAAATTACATAGCATAGCTTGTCATATAAAATTGTCTGCTCCCATATACATGTACATGTACCAAAAATGTATTGATAATGCCACAATGTGAAAACCTCACAAGGCCTCACTTCATTACATATATAATTCCATTTTTGTGTTACAGGAGAAACACACTATTCAACTCTGGATGATCAAACCTGACATTTTAGCCAGGTCTTGCTGACATTTGTAGGTTATATAATATAGCATAACTATTCAGAACAGTTTCGTGAATTATACCATAACAGCAACAACAAAAAAGTGTGCACTTTGCATAAATCTGCAAAGTACAAAAGTGCACACAATTGTTGTTTTGCCATATATCCCCATACATAATCCTGGTTATTCCTTTTAATTGATTTTTGAAAAACACAGCACTTTTAATTGCCTAGTTAATCTATCTTGAAAAGCCTAGCCTAAGATCTTCATAACATCTTGTTGAAGTGACCACACCTGTTACAGAAAGTCACTCTGAGCCTGTCAAGCTTTGTCCATACCAGTTTCTGGAGACACCTCTTCTGAGAAGTTAATTTGTTTTCTATTCCACACACAGTCAGTAGCTTGTAGTGTACATCACAGTTTGGGCAGACACTTAAGTTAGCACTAAATATCTTCCATCACTCAGATCTGATCCTGACAAGCAAATAGTTTTTAGAGACTTTACTAGCTCATGCATAAATTCTCAATTCCTCACAGAGCTTATATCAATCATAGCTTGTGGACACACTTAACCATGATTACGGACAATCTCTATCACTCAAAGAGCTGGTCTATTTATGTCATTCACAGTTTGTGGAGACATTTTAGCTTGTACAGAAAGACTTCCTTACATCTTAGAGCTGGTCTTGTATCAATCATAGTTGATAGACACACTAACCATGCGTACAGAAAATCTCTATCACTCAAAGAGCTGGTCAAGATATTCCAATCACACTTTGACGAGACAGTTTAGCTTAAACACTTCCTTCCATCTTAGAGCTGGTTTGATGTCATTCATAGTTTGTGGAGACACTTGGTCTTGTACACAAGTCTTCTGTCTGTCATTGGGTTGGTTTGGAGACACTTGGTCTTGTACACAAGTCTTCTGTCCGTCATTGGGTTGGTTTGGAGACACTTGGTCTTGTACACAAGTCTTCTGTCTGTCATTGGGTTGGTTTGGAGACACTTGGTCTTGTCCACAAGTCTTCTGTCCCTCATTGGTCTAGTATGACCGTACCAATCATAGTTTGTGGAGGCACTTGGTCTTGTACACAAGTCTTCTGTCCGTCATTGGGTTGGTTTGGAGACACTTGGTCTTGTCCACAAGTCTTCTGTCCCTCATTCGTCTAGTATGACCGTACCAATCATAGTTTGTGGAGACACTTGGTCTTGTACACAACTCTTCAGTCCCTCAATGGTCTAGAATGATTGTACCAATCATAGTTTGTGGAGACACTTGAGCAGTGTGTCCCTCAGTTTAGTCCGGACGGCCTCCTCCCCCTCACATATGATGTGTGTAGAGTCGGACTCTACCTGTATCAGTGTGTCGTCATTGGACTGTAAACATAAACAAACAACATGATAATTCATTGTACCTGTATATAGAATCCACCGCAGAAAGTTCATAAAATGGCCGCTAACAGCAAGTGGTCTATGAGAACATGTTCAGTTACCATGTAAAATACTGTGTACTGTACTGGGAACCTTTCGCCCGGTTACACTTTAATTCCACACAGGTAAAATCTGTATTCTTCCAGTGTTAATTCGACCCTTAACATTCATGATTTCAAGGTTGCATGAAAATTGTTGTTTGCCACAAATCTTGATTATGTGATATAAAAAGGATCTTACACTATTTTTCATTTCATATGAAATTTATGAAACTCTTCACAAATTTTTCATTTTAGCTCGCCAGAGGCTAGCTAAATTGAAAAATCCTTAAGACTCGTTTCATAAAACTCATATGAAATGGAAACTCATGTATCATGTAACACCGTTTATCTTCATAGTTCTAAGAACACTGAGGAAAGAACTTACAAAAATACAAACACCCAGACCCAGTATATGGGTGTGATTGGTCCCCTACTAATAAGTAAGTACACTATGATCGCCTCCCCTCTCCTCCCAATCCATCCCCTCTACACTTCAGCTCTCTACCCCAACCCATCCAACCTCGTTTTCCCTCCCCATAACACAGTCAAACATATGAGGGGGAAAAGAATGGAAATATATGTCTATGAAATATATGGAGTAGCTAGAGGCGTATGCTCTGGAAGAAACAAGTGATTTGANGGACGCCGGGCTCGTGACCGAAGGGTTGTGGGTTTGAGTCACGGCACGGCACTGTGTTGTATCTTTTACTCCGCTTGTTCCAGTCTACTCAGCTGTAAATGAGTATGTGGTTGGGCAGTGCTAAAATTGTTGAATGCTAGCTGTGAGCGTGACAGCAGGGAGTTGAGAAAGATATTGGCTGGTTTCACAGGGCCCTATAACCACGGATAATAACTTGTGAACTGCTTTGAGACGACCTATGAACTAGGTTGTGATAAAGCTGTATAAAGGAACCACAAACTATTATTATTAAATATGAACGAATAATAAGATGACCTGCTGAACTAGCCTTTGGAATACAGTAGTTACATGGTTAAATGTTTAGATACACTTACCAAGTGTATGATAGAGCCGTCCTCACCAGTACTCTCCACCTTTATATCGGTGATACCTTGCTGTTGAAGAGAAAATATAAAAACATGTAAACATCTCATTATCGCCAGTCAGCCAACTTCTTAACTCGGTTAAACATTCAATAACAGGTGCATGTTTCCTGTACATGTTTTATGTTTCTGTGCAAGTATATAACGGGATTGAACGGCGTTTTTTTAATGTTCATGCCGGTATGAATGCAAATCGGTTACATCCATATAGCGGGCTTCATGATTAATATGAATGTAATTAATTTACGTCATTATTGCCATGAACATTTTGGAAAAAACCCTGTTCAATCCATATATTTACATTTTTACTATTGAACCATCGTTTAATTTTATCTATTTGTTCTTAAATAATTATATTTTTCACTGCGTTTTGTATATGTGTCGTCCATTTAATGACATTGTAGGAACAGCCCTATTTAAATAAAATTGGCGCCAATAATTAATCGTAGTCATTTGAGCGTTTGACGTAGGGGCATTCTCTATGTTATCTGAAGTGAAGGGCCAAGACTCATCGAAGAAGGTTAATCTATGACGTCATCAGTAAACTATGTGTTACGTCACAAGAGTTTTTGCTTTCATACTTAATTCTAACACGATTCGTTTGCAACGCGTGTTTTGATTGGATACAGACCATGTTCTAATCTGCGATCCAATCATGATCAATCGTGTTAAACTCCTCCCATCTCACTTAAGCCACGCCCCGTTTCTAACCAAAACAATATGGCGTCAAGCTCGCCTCTTAGCGAAATCCAGCTGATAAGGTTAGCAGGCAACAGAACAGAAACGACAGATGAAATGTATTTGTTGATGAATTAAAAAGTTAAAAAAAATAAACATTCCTTGTTCTCACCTCCATTTTTTACTGAAACTTTCGTTCCATCTGTGTGAAGGCATCTATATAGTTAGATCCGAAATCAAATGAAACATTTAATATGTTTCGTATGAATTTACACAAAACTCTTCACAGATCTATACAAATAATCACCAATTTTGTCAATAAGCACAGATTAGTATTCATACTGATATGGAAATGTAAGAATTTGGTCAATATTAATCCAAATGTGTCGTATAAACTTTGGTAACAGGACGTTCACGAACAATCCAAATATTCTGCATCGTCAACATACAGATCGAGCGCTCGCCAGTATGGGCGGGGCAAAATGACCGACTTTTGAAAGCTTCTTTCCGATTGGTCAGTCCGCTGCAGAATGACACGTCGCCAGTTCAGGTCACAAAGTATTTTACTACGTACTTTTGTACAAGGAAATACATTGTTTCTAAACATATTAGCGTAGTATATTTGTTAAGGTGTGTTAGAATGGGGATAGTATGTTGTTTTTCGTTTCTATACTGGCGATTAGAACATGAAATCTGGTTTAAACTCTCGACCTATCAGTCTCGAGTTCAAACCAGATTTCATGTTCTTATCTCCAGTATATATATAGCCACTCAAAACAACGTATTATCCTCTAAATGAAATGCATTTCTGCTGGTAATATTCATATAGTGGGATGCAGCGCAAAATGTAAATATAAACATAGAAAAAAGCACAGGCAGGATTTCCAGCAGAAAATATAACACAATTATAATTCAAACAATCCATGGCGCTCATGTTTTCAATTTTCAAATCGTTTAAATTGCATAATGCAAATTTAAATTTAAATTGTAAAATGTCCAATTCCCTTAATGCTTTTGATTTAAAACCAATATAAAAATATATTTTAGCTATTATTCAGTTAAAAACAAAAGGTTTTGTTTAAATAATGCTAGGGTTAATTTGATAAGCTTTGAGAACATGTACTGTAACAGACTAGGGCTAATCTGATTAAGCTTTGAGAACATGTACTGTAACAGACTAGTGCTAATCTGATTAAGCATTGAGAACATGTACTGTAACAGACTAGGGTTAATCTGATTAAGCTTTGAGAACATGTACTGTAACAGACTAGTGCTAATCTGATTAAGCTTTGAGAACATGTACTGTAACAGACTAGTGCTAATTTGATTAAGCTTTGAGAACATGTACTTTAACAGACTAGGGTTAATTTGATTAAGCTTTGAGAACATGTACTGTAACAGACTAGTGCTAATCTGATTAAGCTTTGAGAACATGTACTGTAACAGACTAGAGCTAATTTGATTAAGCTTTGAGAACATGTACTGTAACAGACTAGGGCTAATCTGATTAAGCTTTGAGAACATGTACTTTAACAGACTAGGGTTAATTTGATTAAGCTTTGAGAACATGTACTGTAACAGACTAGGGTTAATTATCTGATTAAGCTTTGAGAACATGTACTGTAACAGACTAGGGCTAATCTGATTAAGCTTTGAGAACATGTACTGTAACAGACTAGGACTAATCTGATTAAGCTTTGAGAACATGTACTGTTACAGACTAGGGCTAATTTGATTAAGTTTTGAGAACATGTACTGTTACAGACTAGGGCTAATCTGATTAAGCTTTGAGAACATGTACTTTAACAGACTAGGGCTAATTTGATTAAGCTTTGAGAACATGTACTGTTACAGACTAGGGCTAATCTGATTAAGCTTTGAGAACATGTACTGTAACAGACTAGGGCTAATCTGATTAAGCTTTGAGAACATATACTGTAGCAGACTAGGGCTAATCTGATTAAGCTTTGAGAACATATACTGTAGCAGACTAGGGCTAATCTGATTAAGCTTTGAGAACATGTACTGTTACAGACTTCTAAAAGAATGTGACGCAACAGTGAAATAGCTCGAACATTCCCTCCTATACGAATTGTAAAATATAAGGTTATTTAAAAACTCCATTCATTCCTTCACTGCTCGTCCAATAAGTTTCCACAGATTCTGACCTTAGTAAGGGCATCCACAAAAGACTGAATGTTGAGTTTCCCCCAGATGTACGACTTTGGTCGGATCAACGTACCGTCGGCTCGCCTCTTGGTCGATAAAGTCTCTGATGATAAGGGCTACAGTGGAAACAAAGAAGAGAACAGGAGTAAAGGAAGGTTTTTCAAAAATGAGATGTTGTTAACTAACCAGTAAAAATAGATACAACACTATACTAAGTAGTACACCTCAGGAATATTCGGCACGTGTAGATTGAGGGCTCCAAATGTACCTGACCAAAACAAAATTGCTTATTATTGCTAGTTTGCATTATTTCTTTGTAAAACAAGGTAATTCCACATGTAGATTTTAAGCGACAGTATATCACTTAGTGGACACGTGATAGAAGGCCATATTATTCTTGATGTATTGGTATTTATTCTCCGAAACTGTGTATTATTGAGCCTGCATATAGTTCGGTCCAAGTGTGTTCGTTTATCGTGGAATATTTCTGCACAACCTTAACCGTTTCAACCGGTATACGCGAAAGTAACCAATATTAGGGTTTAACAACAGCATGCTGGAGGCTCTTTCTTTAGAATTAAACCACTCCTTCATGAATACAACTGATTCCATACAATTGTATATGGTAAGAAACACTATATAAATCTAGTTTTATCCTACCACCCATACAATGTTACTACAGGTGCCTCCTGCACCTCCCATTTGCAAATGGTTAATAAAAGAACAGACATTAATAGTATACCAGGACATTTTCTGCAGCTAAGTTTTTTAGCAATTTATCCCAAAATTGATGGTTTCAAAAAAAAATCCCAATCTTGTCAATGTATCAAAGTCAGGAGGTTTATTTTTACACTGACTTTACAGCATTATTGATCATCCAATTGTCTTATTCATTGCAAAACAGTCTGTTTAATAAGAATTTAAATGGTGACAACAATAACAATGATAAATCATTGATGCTAAGTGTTAAGGTTTTACCTTTACTTTCGCCCGTGAGCTATACAGTTTTTTACATTGAAAAATGTCCCTTTATGGGCAATCTGATGAAGCCGGCAATGTGACAATTTTTTTTAAAAAGAATAAAAAGTGTTGGCAACGCAATATCTTTTAAATCCAAAATTGTATGCATCTTCATTTATAAACAAAAACACAACAGTCAATGTATGTACGATTAATTGGTTCATATAGCCGGTACTGTATTGCTAGTGTTATATCATCTGTTAGGAATGTTTAGTGGAGTACAAGGAGTCACCATGGCTGTTAAGATCAGAACAATTAATGGTGCTAGTGGTATATCAGAGACAAATCAAGTAAAACAACTCCAGAATGGATGTACCTATAAATAGTTTTTAAGTAGCAGATAACCTTCAGGCAATCTACTGGGGTGAGCAAGCTGTATAATTTATTTCCGAGGGGGAAATTTATTTTGGGAGGGGCGGGCTGTTCTATTTACCAGTCAAACTTACCTTTAACAGGTATTTGTTGTCTTTAACAACAAGGGAGGCGGTGATCATACAAAGGCTGGTACCGGGCTTCACTTCTGATGGCTCCAGAGAGGCTGCCAGCTAGGATTCAACAATCAATAGAACGTCATAATGGTGAAATTAAAATATAATATTCATTTGTCAAAATATAAAAAGATTTTTAGACACTACCAAATGAAAGAAGTCATTGGGCAAACAACTCGGAACAAAAAGCATAACAAACACTTTTCTCAGCTATGTATGTGCATGTCTATTATCTAGCAATTCTAGATTATTTGAACAGAGCTAATTATTACCAGTTTTCTCTTGTTTTCTTAACTTGTTAATATGGAATGACATATCAAAAAAATTCTTTTGAATATCTTTATAAACTTTATTCATTTTACAAGAATTATGAAATAAGTTCTTGCAACTTATATTAATCACTCTGGTTGGCCAGGGTGTTAGCGCTCGCGGGTCTTAAAGTGGGAGGGAACCATAGTACCCAGTGAAAACCCACGTGGTCAAGCGAGTGACCCTATACCTTTTCACATCCAATCGGGGAATCTAAACCCGGCCCCCTGCCCTGCAGGTAGGGCGTAAGAATTGTACCTGCTGCCCCCAATTGCATGATCGTAAGAGGCGACTAAATTTGGGACCTTATCTCTTCTCTCCTTTCTAAATAACTTTCTTTTTCCTTATGTCTCCCTTGACAATGCCTCACTTTTGGCCATTTGTTGAGCGTTCGCCCCTGTGAGGAAGGCTTTGGGTTCTGTCCCCTGGCCGAGACATACCAAAGTCTTTAAAAATGGTAGTTTCTACTCCTGCTTAACGCTCAGCAAATTAGGAGTGGGACGACTGGTTCGCCCGTTGTCAGTATAATGTGACCGGGTGGGGCGTCCTGCTGGGTGTCTTCGGCAGTATGTTTCAGTGAGGTAGCACTATAAAGTCGGCATCAGTTCCGCGCTATTACAAGAAGACAAACACAAACATATCGCAGCCTCCCAAAATACACACACATACACTACACGCATGCATCTTGCACACAGGGGAGGCCGTCCTTAAATGACCTTAGCTGTTAATAGGACGTTAAACCAAATCAAACAAACAAACAAACAAACTGGTGAAAGGCGAGTTCGTTAATCCACTTCATCAGCCGACCACAAGTATGTTTTAGTATATTTCTGTAGTTAACAGCAACTTTTCCTTTTCTTACCTCAGAGCTCAGTTCGACAGACTCAAACTGTCGTTTGATTGGTAATGATACTATCTCCCCTCGTTTGTAGGTCAAAGGGCCGGGCTCCTACAACAAATATCATCAACATCAAAACCATTCAGGGCCTTAAACTTTATATGTCCTCAGACCATAACATTTCTGCCAATTTCATTTTAATTCATTTAAATTTTTAGAAAGTATATCAATTTATATAGACTATTTTATTTGAATTTCAAACACTTACAGGAAATACAATAATTTAAAATCAAGATCCAGAGGGATATCGGTATCCACTATTTTAAGATATTCATTAGTGCTATTTTATTTGATTTTTTCCCCCCACTTTCTGTTAGACAGACCGTTTTGAATTGAAAAATAAATGATACAATCAATGAAACAGAATAAAACTGTACCAGTTTCAGTCTTGAACTCTTGCCTAACTTATAAGATTAGAAGTTATCACAAGTACGTTCCCTAAATTACCTTACCCACTCAATAACAAACTCTGTGCGGTGAGGCATGGAGACGGGAGGCTGAGTGTAGCTCTCCGCGACCACCAGGTGTGTCGGTTTGAGCTCCTTGATCAGTTTGTTGGCCTGACCAAAGTTGAGACTTGTATCTATAGGACAGTAGCAAACCTGGAAAACACAAAATATGCCATTAGGATCAAATTGCACTGATTACAAACAAATACTCACAGTATGTTTTAACAATTTTAAGGGAAATTTTCACTAGAAACCACAGTACCTATTCATACTGGATGAAGAATAATTATTTCATTTATTAAACAGCATTTGCATCCCGCTCTTTCTTATGTCAAGGAAATTACTCCAATACCTGGAATGAGTTTGTATTTCAGGGTCCCAAGGTCATAGCCAAGGTTAAGTTTGCTATCCATAGGTAAAACATTACTATTTTCTCCATAGATTAATTATGAACAGGCTACCAACTTCAGGGCAGGGAGGCATTCATCAAACATCTTTTTAGTTTCTATTATGACATCACAATAGGGCACAAAAATCACCCCAGAAATTATTAAGATTCAAAGGTTGGTATTGTGAGGATGATGTTCCATACATACCCTCATCTGCATTGGTTGGTATGGGGCCAAAGCGTCTAGGTAGGGAAAATCTGGCTCTGTGAAATAAACACCCGGATTCAATGACCAGGTCAGATCAACACACCTAAGTATCTAAAGCTGACAAGTCTTTTTTTTTACTTACATTATTTAAATTTCTAAACATTTTCTTCAGGTTGAAAAGTACTTTTATATACAAACAATAACATTTTCTTTGTGACGTTTCGATGACTGGTATGATATATATGTACACTGTCACCTTCATCAGACAAATGACCAGTGAAGGATATGCACACAAAGGTGAAAAATGTGTACAAGTTGTCCACAAACATTGATGTTGATTTCGGCTATGCTTTGTGGACAACTCGTACACATTTTACACCTTTGTGTGCATACGCTTCACTGGTCATTTGTCTGATGAAGGTGACAGTGTACATATCGTACTAGTCATCAAAACGTCACAAAGACAATTTTATTGGATGTGTAAAAAAGAACTTTTCATAATACCTGGTACATCATTTAAAGTTCAGTAAGGTTAAGTTTAAGAGTCTTAAACTGCACTGAAATATTCAGCGAAAACATATAGCTACAGAATTTAATCTTATTTACAAGATTTGTGAAACAAAGCAAAATTCAATGCTAGAGGAAGTGTTCAGAGATACCATTATCTCTGTTTCTACCTGTCTATTTCTACCTGTCTGTTTCTGTCTGTTTCTACCTACCTGTTTCTACCTGTCTGTTTCTGTCTGTTTCTACCGGTCTATTTCTACCTGTCTGTTTCTACCTGTCTGTTTCTGTCTTTTTCTACCTGTCTGTTTCTACCTGTCTATTTCTACCTGTCTGTTTCTGTCTGTTTCTACCTGTCTAGGACTGTTTGTTTCTACCTGTCTAGGACTGTCTGTTTCTACCTGTCCGTTTCTACCTGTCTATTTCTACCTGCTTCTACCTGTCTATTTCTACCTGCTTCTACCTGTCTATTTCTACCTGCTTCTACCTGTCTATTTCTACCTGATTCTACCTGTCTATTTCTACCTGCTTCTACCTGTCTATTTCTACCTGCTTCTACCTGTCTATTTCTACCTGCTTCTACCTGTCTATTTCTACCTGCTTCTACCTGTCTATTTCTACCCGTTTCTACCTGTCTATTTCCTACCTGTCTGTTTCTGTCTGTTTCTACCTGTCTGTTTCTACCTGTCTATTTCTACTTGTCTGTTTCTACCTGTCTGTTTCTACCTGTCTATTTCTACCTGTTTCTACCTGTCTATTTCTACTTGTCTGTTTCTACCTGTCTATTTTCTACCTGTCTGTTTCTGTCTGTTTCTACCTGTCTGTTTCTACTGTCTGTCTGTTTCTACTGTCTGCTTCTACCTGTCTGTTTCTACCTGTCTAGGACTGTCTGTTTCTACCTGTCTAGGACTGTCTGTTTCTACCTGTCTAGGACTGTCTGTTTCTACCTGTCTAGGACTGTCTGTTTCTACCTGTCTAGGACTGTCTGTTTCTACCTGTCTAGGACTGTCTGTTTCTACCTGTCTAGGACTGTCTGTTTCTACCTGTCTAGGACTGTCTGTTTCTACCTGTCTAGGACTGTCTGTTTCTACCTGTCTAGGACTGTCTGTTTCTACCTGTCTAGGACTGTCTGTTTCTACCTGTCTAGGACTGTCTGTTTCTACCTGTCTAGGACTGTCTGTTTCTACCTGTCTAGGACTGTCTGTTTCTACCTGTCTAGGACTGTCTGTTTCTACCTGTCTCAGACAGAGAAATCTGCGGGTATTTACCTGTAAAGATAATTGTGTTCCCAGAAGACTTCCCCCACATCTCTATAAAGTGGACGACGTCACCCATCCTCAGCGACGGGTGACCCGTGAACACAATACACGGTGTCCTAAAGTCACTGTTTAAACCATCTGTCAAACGAAACAAAACATTCCATAAATGAAGGTAACTGCTGAATACTTTACAGCTGTTGTCACTTGATTTGCTACACGACCTAAGGTGGTAAAAGTTGTTTGCATATTGAGGTGTTTAAATCTACTGTTTTCTTTCCTTCTCTCTCTTCAAAGAATGCAAAATTTATTTCAGTCCTTCTTGTTATAAAGCATACAAAAACAAAAAACCAGAGATGGTGTCAAAGCCACCAAATGCTCGCCTGTTTAAAATGTTATCGTATTAAAAAATGTGTTTGTAAAAATGTAAAGTTCAAAACAGGTCAAGAGTGTAAACAATTTGAAATTATTTTTTAATTTTAACTTAACTTCATCAATAGTATACCCCACGGAACCTCAATGCCAAATATCAGCATCCTAGTACACAAATTTAATGAATGACAAGCTTCTAAATAACTTGCAGGTAAAAATCTAATGTTGATGTGCTTAAAAAAAGTTAAGTACAAAACTGGTAAAATATTTCAAAATTTGAAATCATTTGTTAATTTTCACTTCACTATATCAATAGTATACCCCACAGGAACCTCCATGCCAAATATCAGCATCCTAGTACATATATTTAATGAATGACAAGCTTCTAAATAACTTGCAGGTAAAACTTTAACATTTTCACGCTCACGCCGGGGGTAACGCTATAGCTCTCTGTTCTTCGAACAGGCAAGCTAAAAATGAAAATGAACTTGTATTTTGCTAGAAGTAAAACCTAAAATAAAAACTTTTTTAAATTACATGATTGGATTTTTTCTCTAAGAAATTAGAAATTAGAAATCTCTGGAATTTAAGCCCAAACATATATAGTATACTCAAATGATTCTTTATATCATTCCTTGTCAAATTTTAAGAATATCCATTCTGGCCAAATACCAGGTATAATAAATTCTATTTTTTTCTCCAGCTGACGATTTTTCCTCTTTCCTTGTTACCAGGTAATGTGAAATCAAAATGATTCCCAGATGTTCCATGAATTACGGAGGTATCACCTACCATGTATGTTGTTAAAGTGCTTCAGCCTGCCTAACGTCACCAACTGAAAATTAAAAAAGAAGAAATGCTATTATGCTGTAATCATTTTTTCTACATTATGATATGTTTTGCAAAAATACAACATGTCAATATGTGTTCAAAATTGTTTTCCAGTTACTCCTGAGGAGGTAATGTTATTTAACCAGTTACTCCTGAGGGGGTAATGTTATTTTACCAGTTCTGCAGGTAAAATAAGGTAAGAAACTGCTATAACCATACCTCTGCGTGTGGGAATGGGGGTTCGGGGAGGTAGACCCTGGATTGCTTCGCTGTAGACAGCCTGTAACAAACAGTTTATAGTAATTATACACTGAAGAGGACTTCACACTCACAACTCTGATAACTCAGCACTACCCTGATATTTATATTTACATTTGGATTGTAATTACATAACACAATACCAGGGTACTATTGATCTGTATTTCCGTTATAAATTTATCAAAAACAAGTGCAACTGGCGATAGCAAAACTCATCACTGAGCGCTTTTGAAAAACACTTATATTTTAGTTACAAAAAACTGTTTCAAAAGCAATTTGGAGATAATGCAGTACACATTATAGTCACATCAACATCATATTCTTCGAAATAAAATACTAGTTACCGGATAAAGTAACTAAGTTCTCGGATAAAACAGTTATTTTATGACTTGTAACCACTGAGTTTAAACAGGCCAGAGAAACTAACTAAAATGCAAAAACTTAATGGTGATGGAAATGCTGACAAAGTCAATGGACCATGAAAGGTAGGCCGCATCTAGCATTTGATGCATGGGATGAGATGTACTCCTTTAGGTGCATGTATGGTCCAAGTTTAGTTGGTCTAGCACTTATACTTTCAGAGAAACTAACTTAAACGGAAAAAAACTTAATGTTGACGCCATCATCATAGCCAGAAAAGCAACACATGAGTCTCGCTTCCACTTCGTGGCGGCGAGACAAAATGTAAATATCATCTCACATTATCCCACATATACAATGCGGAAGCAAAATTTAAGGTTTTATAATTTTCAAATTAGATACTCACCACTCTGCAAAGATATTTGAGTAGGCCAGAACACTGTCAGAAACTGGAGACAGGAAGTACATGGGGATCGTGCTCAGTCCACATGTGTCCAGATGTCCACTTAAACACTCAAAAAGGTCGTAGGTGATTCCGGATGGGTAACAGGGCACAAGGACATTACCGCCATTCTTCAAGGTTACAGCTGAAACAGGAATATTGCAGCATACAAGCGTACAGTAAAATCTTACAGAGCTTTCTATTTCCTCACGACGTATTCCAAATGTGCAGAACGTGTACAATAAGAGACTGTATCCCCTAGAACATCAAGGGTGCCTATAGAGGCAGTAACATGTTCATTGCTGACTACTCAGAAATAAAAGGGACTGTTGATTCAATGATATCAGATGGCTGCATAAAGACGCTTCACACCAATTACAACTGTTGTTTCTTTACCTGAAACATTATGCAATACAAGCATAAGCATTATGAGAATTTGGAAAAGTTAAAACTGCTTTCCTAATTTCCTCAGGCAAACAATCCTTTCAGGAAAGTGAAACCTATGTTGAAATGTGGCTAGATCTTCAATTTCAAACAGAAGATTACCAGTTTCAATAGTCTTATTTTCAAGGTAGATATTATTTTCAGATCAGATCATCTGTGTTCACTCAATCAAGTTTACCTGCATTAACACAGAACTCTCCGATCATGGCGTCCGGGTTTACAGTCGGTGTCTGCGTCAGACATCCAAGGATGAGGAGATCACTGTTCTTCAGGGGAGCTTGGTCCACTGGCTGTCAACAAAAACATCAAAATGATGGAACAACAAAAATAGCAACCATGACACCAACGATAGTGGTACAGTATAACCTGTCTAAACTGGGCCCTGTCTAATCTGGATCCCTATGTAAACCGACTGTGACTTGTGGTCCGGCATATTCACTATATAATTATTGTATTTAAACCCTGTATAAACAGAACACAAGCTTTTCACTTCAAATATAGTTAAAAGTGACTTTTGCGCCTTTCATCTTGATTGAATATTTCCATTCTTAACTGTGGTGTAAATATATAAAACAAATCGGCTGAGGGATTCACTAGGTATGTTGTATACAGGGTTTACACTAGGACAGACAAATGGAGGCATACAAGGAAAACGTAACATGGGAAACAATGTATAATGTGTAGAGCAAAGTAATACGTCATATATCAACAACATAGTTCTGAGATCTGAGTTGACCTAATATTTCACTTATCCACAACATAGTTCTGAGTTTACCTTAGGATGGGTAGTCAGTGTTGATGTTCCAGCCACATAGCAGATCTACAAAAAGAAACAAATACATATTTCATTAACAGGTTTAGAAATTTAAATGGAAGTAGAATATAATTCTGTTATTTTTATTGCAATTTGTATTAGAAATCTGTAAAGCATTATGCAATTTCGAGAAAGTTAATAGGACCCCAGTTGCTGAGTGGTTAAGGCATCTGACATTCTACTACCATTAGCCCTCCACCACTGGGTCGCGGTGGCCGAGCGGTTAAGGCATCTGACATTCTTCTACCATTAGCCCCCCACCACTGGGTCGCGGTGGCCGAGTGGTTAAGGCGTCTGACATTCTACTACCATTAGCCCTCCACCACTGGGTCGCATGTTCAAGGCCTAACTGGGGCAGTCACCAAGTACTGATTGCAGGTCGCAGGTTTTCTACAGGTATTCCAGCTTTCCTGCATCACCAAAACCTTGCACGCCCTTAAATGACCATAGCTGTGTAAAGGACGTAAGACACAAACAAACCAAATCTAGGAAGTTACTCTGAACACAGATTCTGGTCGTATAAGTTAGCTACCCATTCTAGGCAGAGTGTTAGTATGCATCTTACCTTTTCATACTCTGATGTGATGACCCAGTTACAGCTTACCTTTTCATACTCTGATGTGATGACCCAGTTACAGCTCCCTATGCTGTAACCAGAGCTACAGGCTAGCACTGTAAGGGCACCGTAGATATCCTACAGAAAACAGAAATACGTATTATAGTGTTTGATAATTCTGATAAGATATATTAGTATGTACAGAATAATAATGATTTTTTTGAGGGCTAATACCAGATTCAGGGGCTGATATTGTGATATCAAAATGGTTATATTTTAAACTGTAACACATGACAAAGCAAAATGGCTGATATTGGACTCAAGGGCTGATATTAATCGTGATTTCACAATATCACAGACAGGTAGGCCTATCAAAAAGCCAACATCTCATTTAGTTTTCCTCTTAATAAATAATTTATTCAATTCCTTTGTGTGTTATATACCATATATATATATATTGCTTTTCCAGTCTAAATATTCACAAAATATCTTATTCAGCATAATTTGATCAAGCAAGTGTTGAAAAATGTCAATCTCTTTCCCATTCTATTTGTTTTTTTATGAAACTTGCAAAAGCTTGTTTCATAAAAAACATTCATCATGAGAACTCATGAAAGATCATTTTGGATTCGAAGTCTATCTAAAGCAAGCAATTTTTCAATTCAAAGTGCATATTGTAGGCTAAACTTTATATTTGAATTTGACAATTACTGGAAAGACTGATATTATGACAGAAATAATCCCAAATTTGTTTCAGTTTCAGTTAGTATTGGTGAAATTTGTTTCAACTAACTCCAAATCGTAAGAATTTTACCATTTTTAACCCATTATTTAAAAAATATATGCAGAAATTCACTTTTAATGGGTAATAATTAATCAGATATAATCTTGTCATACCCTTCTCTCATTGTAGCCAACCACCTGGACACGGGCGAGACTTGAGTTGACGTCATGTCTAGTGTAGCATTTCTTCCACATACGTGGACGTACAGTATCACTCAGGAAGGAAGGCAATAATCTGAAATATACCCAGGTATAATAAAAACATTATTTATTTGGTTTGGTTTGTTTGTGATTTACGTCCTTATAACAGCTATGGTCATTTAAGGACGTGCCAGGTTTTGGTGGTGGAGGAAAGCCAAAGTTCCCGGAGAAAATTTACCAACCTATGACCAGTACCTGGCGACTGCCCCACGTAGGCCTCAAACCTGCGATCCAGTGGTGGAGAGCTAGTGGTAGCAGAATGGCCTTAACCACTTGGCCACCGTGGCCCCTTAACATTATTTAACACAGGTTAACAAAAACTTTACTGATACAATGTATCAACATTCCTATATATATACATACTTGAGGATATTGTCAGCCTTCCATTGGGTATAGATTTTGGGTGTTAACAATGATACATACTTGAGGATATTGTTAGCCTTCCATTGGGTACAGACTTTGGGTGTTAACAATGATACATACTTGAGGATATTGTCAGCCTTCCATTGGGTACAGGCTTTGGGTGTTAACAGTGATACATACTTGAGGATATTGTCAGCCTTCCATTGGGTACAGACTTTGGCTGTTAACAATGATACATACTTGAGGATATTGTCAGCCTTCCACTGGGTACAGACTTTGGTTTTTGGGGTCCTTTCTATGTATGTCACCAACTCATCCATGTATTGTCTGAAACGAAACAAAACTCTTTGAATTTATCAACTTGGCAAAGTGTTAAATCCTGATAAATTAAGCAACGTAATCATCAGTTAACACTATCTGCTATATATATAATGACTTAGACACAGTCACAAGCAGTATTGGAATTAGCTTTCAGCTTTTAAAAATTTGGTCTCAAACAAGGAATACTATATAATGATATCAGATAGCAACAATAGACACATTTTCGAAATGTTTTAAAACCCTTTTTTGCTTTCATGCATGCACCCCTGGATTTTTACAATAGACAGTCCAAGTCATTGTCTTTGAAGAGTCTAAATGTGAATTTAGGGGTCAATGGATTCATCTGATATGGGATAGTAGCAATGCAAACACTAAAATAGTTTATATGGATCAATGTTATTAGGCCAAGACGAAACAAGAGGCCCAATGTGCCAGCATCGCTCACCTGGTATTAATCTCACACTTGTAATCTTAAAAGTGGACTAGAATACAGCTACAGGCAGAATATTAGTGTTTGATTCATAAGAACCTATAAAAAGATTTAAACATATGACGCCTGTGACCTTGAATGTCGAACAAGGACATTAGGTTAAAAGTGGGTCAAGGTCATTCATTTGAACAAACTTGGTACCCCTTCATCCCAGCATGCTACAAGCCTAATATCAGTACCCTGGGCCTTTCGGTTATTGAGGAGAAGTTGTTTGAAGATTTTAGGACATTTGACCCCTGTGGCCTTGAAAGTAGGTCAAGATCATTCATTTGAACAAACTTGGTAGCCCTTCATCCCAGCTTGCTACAAGGCCAATATCAGTACCCTGGGCCTTTCGGTTATTGAGGAGAAGTTGTTGGAAGATTTTAAGACATTTGACCCCTGTGACCTTGACAGTGGGTCAAAGTCATTCATTTGAACAAACTTGGTAGCCCTTCATCCTAGCTTGTTACAGGCCCAATATCCAGTACCCTGGGCCTTTTGGTTATTGAGAAGAAGTTGTTTGAAGATTTTAAGACATTTGACCCCTGTGACCTTGACAGTGGGTCAAAGTCATTCATTTGAACATACTTGGTAGCCCTTCATCCCAGCATGCTACAGGCTCAATATCAGTACCTTTGGCCTTTTGGTTATTGAGAAGAAGTTGTTTAAAATAAAATATTGTTGCCGGACGGACGGACGACGCTGCACCACGGCATAAGCTCACTTGGCCTTTCGGGCCAGGTGAGCTAAAAAAGCAAATGTGATTCTGCAAACATACCAGGAACTATTTATTAAAGGTAGAAATACCATTTATATCATTTTGTATTTTACTGATCAAGATTATATAGAAAATAAAATTGAACTTTTATAGTCCTCCACTCAAAATAACAGTAAAACTGCAAAAAGCAGAAACACATCAATTCATATTTTTATACACATTTGTGAATGCTGCTATCACAAAACATGATATCTTTTGATCTTAAGACACAAGTTATTTTTACTTCCCATACACTGAATCTGAAAGTACGTTCTGTACAATTTAACACTCTTGAACTTTGCATTTGAAATAACATACATAACATTCCTACTTCCCAATTATGAAGAGAGAGGTCACTACAATATGACAACCTTGAACGCTCCATACATAGTAACATACCTAGCTTCTTACCTTCCAGTTATATGAGTGGGATCAGTATGGTAAGACATCCTTAAACTATTTATACATAATTTTCTTACATTACAATATAAAGAAATCTGTCAGTACATTAGTACAGTGTAACACCCATGAACCCTCCAAACAAGATTTTCTTACCTTCCAATATGAAGAATGGAATTGGTACAGTTCAACACTCTTTATTTCTTTGTACATAATTTTCTTGCGTCCCAAATTGAAGAGTGGGATCATGATCAGTATAATACGACAACCTTGAACACTTCATTGAAAACTTTCTTACCTCCCTATTTGAAGAGTGGGGTCAGTACAGTACACGATACCCTTGGAACCTCCATTAATGAGTTTCTTACCTCCCTATTTGAAGAGTGGGGTCAGTACAGTACACGATACCCTTGTAACCTCCATTCATAAGTTTCTTACCTCCCAATTTGAAGAGTGTGGTCAGTACAGTACACGATACCATTGGAACCTCCATTCATGAGTTTCTTAAAATTTACCTCCCAATTTGAAGAGTGGGGTCAGTACACGATACCCTTGTAACCTCCATTCATGAGTTTCTTACCTCCCTATTTGAAGAGTGTGGTCAGTACAGTACACGATACCCTTGTAACCTCCATTCATGATTTTCTTACCTCCCTATTTGAAGAGTGCGGTCAGTACAGTACACGATACCCTAGTAACCTCAATTCATGATTTTCTTTCCTCCCTATTTGAAGAGTGTTGTCAGTACAGTACACAATACCCCTGTAACCTCCATTCATGATTTTCTTACCTCCCTATTTGAAGAGTGTGGTCAGTACAGAACATGATACCCTTGTAACCTCCATTCATGACTTTCTCACTTCCCTATTTGAAGAGTGGGGTCAGTACAGTACACGATACCCTTGGAACCTCCATTCATGATTTTCTTACCTCCCCATTTGAAGAGTGGGGTCAGTACAGTACACAATACCCGGGGAACCTCCATTCATGACTTTCGTACCTCCCTATTTGAAGAGTGGGGTCAGTACAGTACACGGATACCTGTGTAACCTCCATTCATAATATTCTTACCTCCCTATTTGAAGAGTGGGGTCAGTACAGTACACGATCCCCTTGAACCCAGTGTACTCAGTGATATAGGGTAAAGCGAGAATGGTGTTGTGGTTTGAGATCAGGATGGCGTCAACCTGGGACAGGTCTGTGATGCTCACCTGAAAACGTCAAACATTCTTTTTATATATCTGTTGCTTCCTGTTACAATATATACCAATAATAAAAGTGTATAAGAAACATGTTGAAAAAATCAAGGGAAAAACAATTTTCTTTGTTTCGTTTTGATTTAGTTTCTAATGCTACTTGTGGCAGGTTTTAATTGTAAATAGGATTACGGTCGCTTTCTAGCTTCCAGCTAGAGGGAATTTCCCTTAAGCTCAGTGGTAGAGCGTCCGACTAGGGTTTGATCCCCGTTTGAAGCACACTATTCTCTTTCCTGTTACACTACTTCCACCTTTGAGAACACTGCAGATATGGTATCAATAAATTATACATTTTATATAATATTATGTCAACTAAACTTGACACAGTATCAGAGATTTTAGAGAAATAGCTATTGAGTTATAGAATCATGTCTTTCCTGTGGGACTAACCCACTGTATTTCTAAGAGACGGGACTCATTAATACTTTGGAAATGCCTAAATTAATCCTAACAAAAACACTGAGTGTATATCCACTAAAATTTTGCAGGTACCATATAATTCCCACGGAAAATTGGTTGCAAATTAAAATATCTGGCAAATATTATTTACACAGTTTAAATTATATAACCTGTTATTGCTGATAACTCAAACTAATTTATCTTAGTTATAATAATATAAAAACATAAAAAAAAAATCAAGCATTGTACAGTAAAATAAATTGATTATGTGATGCCACTGCATGTGTCTCATTATTTATTGATGAAAATCTAAATATTTATTTGAGTTACAAACTACTGGTAATGAACCTGCATGTAATTGATTAATAAAAAGATATGTAAGTGAAGTAACATACTTCTGGTATTGAGAATTCTATCATTCCGTCTACAAACACATTTCCACCACACTGCTTCAACTCTTGTTCCTAAAATATAGAAAATATCAAGATACATGTTTAATGACAAGAAGTTGACTAAAAATCTGTGGGATAACTGAAATGGAGAAAACTGTAAACATGTCATAATGTTCATTGTCTGCTAGTGAATCAATTTGTATTGGAAGTTTCAACTCAAGGGAAATGTTGGTAATAAATTTACTGGGAAAGACAATCATTAAGTTAAAATAAATATAGGATACATCATTATCTTTTCGTTATTCATTTTGTGAAATGAAAACCTCATGAAGAATTTATTTGACATGAAAAGCAATCCTTACAAATAGGTAGCGAACAACAATTATGTGATTTACAATAATCACTAATTCTTTAGTAAAGATTGAAATAATAGTACAATATTTTGAAATTAAAGACATTCTGAATTCTGAATTGTGTAAAATGATCTCCCTTGTTTTACATTTGGCACTTTTTACCAGGAAATGTTAGTCTTATGAAATATTGAATGAAAATTGTAATACATTGTTAAATGTCACACTGCTGGGAGTCTATTTTCTGTTAAGGTAACTGTTTAGTATGACTGTAGTCTTGATAGGTCATTTATGAAAAGAAAAACATACCTTGGTGAACATTTATGAAAGTAAAAAGATAACATATAAACATAAAGTAAAAAAGACCAGTATTCTGAATATTAAATGCACCAGAGCTGACCAGACCAGGATTCAAACTCTCTAAATGCAATATTATAATATGTCCTACTAATCAACTGAGCTATGTGCAAAGGGATATGGATCCTTAAATACCTTACAGTGACATGGACCGCTTTCATCTATCATGATCCAAACGATTGGACCTCTGTGACCAGAGTTGTTCATTTATGAATTACGATTGGACCTAGTAGTCTAATGCTGCTTTCAGGCGAACCTTGACAAAGCCTCGCAAGGTCTGCATAAAAATTTGCAGGTTCACCAGTATTTATACCCGAAAAATGTTACATTTAAAAACAGACCAACTGATTGTTCTGCATAAATGAACAGGCCAATGAATATCTTTCACATGACAGTTCCACACTAGGAATAATGTGCAGTATCTTTAAACTATAACAAGAGACCCAGAGGGCTTGTATCACCTGAATAATAAAGCAACCATGGAAAATTATTCTAATTACATAAAATACTTTTAAAATTTAAAAAAGTAGTCCCCTTTGCCCAATGATGCGTCAGGCCAGATTTTTAGTCAAAATCTATAAAGCTGTTCCGGACTAGTAGCATTTTTAAGGAAAAGTTGATGGACGATGGACAGACGACACGGTATGGCATAAAGAACATTAGGGGAGACAACTTCTTACTATAATTAACAGGAATAATGTGTAATACATCGATATACAAAGCAATATCCTGCAGTACTTACCAACATTGCATTTTCTTCACTTTTGTCATCAGATGACGTCCATCCTTTTAACTTGGATAACCTTGCACTGCACAAGTATAATAAATCAAAACTTGAACTTGTGTTGTGTTAATTATGGATTACCAAACTTTACCTGTTAACAAGATTATACAAAATGTATTCTGAATGTATTAATTCCCTATATTACTCATTTCACTAGGTTTAAAGTTAAAGGTTTCTCAAAATATAAATGCAAATATACAATTTTACCTTCTTTTTTTTTAATAGAAAAACAGCAACATTTCCCATTTCACATGCTGCTAAATTATGAATCATGACAGATACAAATTTATTCATTTTTCAAACTATTTTTATTTTACCTTGCAATAAGCAAGGCTTGATAATAACTTAAACAGCAGAATATGATCAAATAAGATAAGTTATAAGCATGCATGCTTAAAATCCCAATTACAAATTAAACATAAGAGAAAAGTTGATATCTTACTTATGAACCACAGGTAGTGGTAGGAACTTGAGAATTTCTCTAACGTCCAGACCACAATCCAACATAAAGGTCACACCTTTGAAGTGAAGGATGAAGCAAGGCTTGCTTGGATTGGCAGACAGACAAGTCTATATAAAGCAAAAACATCATTTTTATAAAACCATTTGCTTTGTCTTATACAAAACTTTGTATTGGCACTTGATCAATTCAATATTACACTGTAAGTTGAACACTTGAATATAAAATTTCAATCTTAAAAAGATTGACACATCTTTAAAACTTTATTCGGTGACGTGGTACCGCACTGAGTCAGGGGTCAGAATTGGTCAAATCCATCATTGATTTAGACTTGCTCAACAGGTTATTCACAATTGCAGCCTACGTACGACCCTGGGATTGCTGGTCAGGGATCCAGCTTTTGTTGAACCTGAGCAAGATGATTGATGAAGTATGTGGACAAAATTGTTTAGTAACTTGTGTATCATACGCAAACAAGCCTATTATACACCAATAGGGGTATGGATTTGTTACTAAAAATAGCCAAAATCTCTTTAATCTTAACTTTTTCAAATTGTTTGTCCAAGTCGCATTTATAAAATTATTCTTTCATGAAACATAAAACAAATGCAAAAATAAACTTTATTTGCATGTGGGAAAGTACCAAAAGTAGATGCAATACTTCCGGTAAAGATACATCATGTTTCTAATATAAGTAGACAACGCTTTCAGTCAACATCTTTTAGCAAAATATTATTTACCTTGTCGTAAATTAATGCGATTTTCAATAATATCTTGCAAAAGTTACTGTTAAAGCGATTTGGGTTATTTTTAGTAACAAATCCATACTCCAACTTGCTTATAATAGGCTAGTTTGTGTATATACGCAAGTTGGTGGTTTTCCCCAACCTGATAACAGGAGCCTAAAGTTCTGTCAATAATGAATAGTAATACACAAAAAAAGAAGCATATTATAGGTATTTTTTTGTATTACTATTATTATTCATTATTGACAGAACTTCAGACTCCTGTGATGCCATCGCATACAACATATCTTGTCTTGGAGGAAAATATTGTTTCAGTTACAAAATCAGGATTTTTCACAAAAAATCATACATGGATTTGAAATGGACTATCGTCAGAGTTCAAGTGCGTGTGAATTTCCAAGATATCTTTGGTGCAACCGGAATTCGCGTCTGAAAGTCCGAAATTACTGTCAATTTCCTTTTAAAACGTTTTGATCTGTTGCGCGATTGATCAGTTGACGGCCCTCTGTTGATGGCAAAAAAAGGAGATCTCAGATATCATGCAGCGACTAGGGTTATATTTATCTTTACTCAGTCTCTTATGTTGCATCTTACCAACTTCATGATGATTCTTTTGCTCTTGTAACTTTAGAATGTAACTTCTGATCGTGCCGATATAAAAAGAAAGATTCGTTTGAAACGACAGATCATCGTTGAGGTTGGATGGGCGCTGCCATTTTTTTCTTCATTTCTTAGTCACTAATGCGTTTGTTTTGACAGGGTTGGTTAGGGTTTTTTAACGATACAAAGACTCTCGGGTTCCTCTAAACGCTTTGTATTTGTTGTGAGATGAGCTGTTTGTATGCACATGTTCAAAATTACAGACGAAGGCCTTGACTCACTTTGAACCAACGAATGTTGTAAGTTTCCTCTTCCAAATTTGAATGGTCAAAAAATTACTACAGTTTTGAAAAAAAATCGGTTCTAAGATGAACCATGTACGTGTAGATAGTGCCGTCGCTGGGGCTCGAATCGAACCCGCGACCCTCTTGACTTTCCAGCCCGATGCTCTACCGCTGAGCTTAAATTACCTGACGCTGGTAAGGCAACCTTATTACACATCTTTTACATATGTAACATTTGTGTTATTATATGTAATAATAATAAATTGAGGTTCTTTTGAGCAGTATATACCGCTCTATCACAAACTAGTTCATAGGCCGTCTCAAAGCGGTTCACAAATTATTATCCATGGTTATAGGGCATTTGCAACCACCCAATATCGTTCTCAACTCCCTGGGGAGCATACAGCCGGTGCTGCCATTTCGGCTCTCACACCTAGCATTCTACAATTCAAGCACTGCCCAACCACATACTCATTTACAGCTGAGTAGACTGGACCAAGCAGAGTAAAGCATCTAAATGCTCAAAGATACAACACAGTGACCTGACTCGAACCCGACCCTTTGGTCACGAGCCCGGCGTCCTACCACTAGTCTACTGTGCATCATGCAGCAGGAATAAAGTGAAATGAAAACATGTGAAGTTCTTTTAAACATCATGAACTAAAAAGGGCATCATGCTTTCAACATATTCCAATAAAAGATACAATGAGATGTAAAAAAAAATAATGATATTCCTCTACCCATTAAAAAATGAGTACATGATAAACTATTACCTTAAGTTTTATGGACAAGCAGAGGTATTGGTATGTTTGTGGCTTAAGTTACAATTCTTGTTTCATTTGCAATTCTGTACATTTAATCTGCAGGAGACAAACATGGCTAACTCAATGAACACACTCTTTGTACGTCACCTGCCTGGGGACCTCAGCCCAGCAGAGAAAGAGGATTTGTTGGGACATTTTGGAGCAGAGAATGTCAAGGTCATGGGAAAAGGAGGGAGAATGGTAAATAATAGATTAGATTAATGGAAAATCGAGAATGAAAGTAATAGGTATATTCACTGGATAACACAGTACATTATGTGATATACAATTTATGTCATGGCTCAAAGCAGTACAAATATAAAATTAATCAATCTGGTACATCAGCGTATTTCCTGGCCAATCTGGGAAATTGTCGCCTGGCTGAAATTTGGATTTTATTTTTGTGCAGCGCAAGTGGGAAATTGGGAAAGTCTGTCTTGTATTATACAAAGCCAAAATAATTTCCGGTTCTGCTTTGCCCTCCAAAAAAAATACCAACCAATTGGGAATTTTTCAGACTTTATTGTGAAAAATACATAGCAATTGTACAATTAGAAATTGGATCAGAATCCAGTCCCAAATACCAACAAATTGGGAATTTTGCAGACTTAATTGTGAAAAATACATAGCAAGTGGAAATTGGGTCAAAATTCAGTCCCAAATACCAACAAATTGGGATTTTTTCAGATTTTATTGTGAAAAATACAAAGCAATTGGAAATTGGATCAGAATCCAGCCCCAGATAAATTACTGTACATTCATTGTGAAATATCACTTCCATACTTAAACTCCATCAGGTTGAAAAAGAACTTTTCCCAGCCTGATGGAAATGCTGAGGCATAATCATGATGACATAGCTTCATTTCTAAAAACAAAGTCAAATTTGAACAAATTCTAGCCAACAACTGTAATGTTTTCTATAAAATGACTGTCAGTATACGTACCATTTCTTTTCTTTGTAGAAATACACTGCCTTTGCGACTTTTAGGGATCATGCTTCCGCCAAGGAGGTAAGCTCTTTTAAGATTATTTTGAATATCATTATGAATATATTCTGTAAGCATATACATGTACTAGCTTTGGAGGTAATTTTTAGCAACTTTTCGTGCTACATTTCATCCCGTAATTCATACCAATCACTAAATTAGACATAACAATATAGCAGAGACTATCAATACCATTACAATGTAAGATTTCATGGGAAAGGTAAATAACAGCAACTGATTTACATATCTATAAGTGAAGGAAAAGTCCTATTTTGTTCTATGGTACTCACCCAATTTACCTCTGTCCATATAGGCTTTGTGCCCATACACCCGCTGTACACCCAGTATACACAGGAGGTTAGTGGACCATTGACATTTGGCGATTTCAGAAGTCAATTAAAATTTTCCCTGAAATTTGGAGTCAAAATATATGTCAAATAGATCTGTGTTTCAAAACCCAAGAGTCAAACCTCATGTTGGTGAGTCAAAACATACCCTCAAGGGTCTAGTAAATTCCTGATATGGTATAGTTTTGTTCAGAAAACATTTTTTGCAGTATTATGTACTGACTGAAATATTTTGTGTTTCGTTTACCAGGCCCTCTCACAGCTGCATCAGTTAGACGTTTTAGGAAGCAGACTGATCGTAGAATTCGCGAAAGAAAGCCAGAGAAAGGATTTCCCAATACAGAAAGATCGCAAGGTGTATGTATAATTTCCATGTGTATATTTGTATGTTTTTTAGCATTGAACTGCATGCTGGACTGAGTTTCAGTTATCATTTTGTTAAACATGATAGTTACATGTCTGGTTCAATTCTGCTTCAGAATTCAAAATCTTTTGTTTTGGTCGTCTGCGAGAAACATGGACAAAATAAATTGTACTGGAATTACTAGCAAACAGTATTATAGAGTGAAATGATACACAAAGGAAAATGACCAAATGGAAAAGATACTGACCTAGATTTGTACAAATTGTCAGTGACAATACAGGAGTACTATTTGATAATAAGTATGTATCAAACACTAATCCACATCTTTACATGTGTAACATTGGTGTATTATGGGTAATAATAATAATTTTAGGTTCTTATATACCGCTCTATCATAACCTAGTTCGTAGGTCGTCTCAAAGCAGTTCACAAATTATTATCCGTGGTTATAGGGCCTTTGCAACCTTTACACACAATGTTATAATATACAGTAATATGATTGTTTTCATATTAAACCCCAGAATTGGTCCTCAACGTACTTGAAATGGAGGCCTTGATGTAGGTAGCCTGAATCTTTCTGGGGTCTAATATGAAAACATTCATATAAGAACATTAACATCTAAGTATGATAGGATGTCATTTAAGTAAGATTTCAGTAAATTAATATTTCAGTGTATTTGGGTATAGAGATTATATTCAGTAGAGCTTCCATTCAGTCTGTCGTTGCCATTGCCTTACACTATACTGTTCCTCTTTAATATAAGGTATGCTACTGTTATCTACTCACAGGACGGACGTGAAGGAGGAGAAGATTGATGTCATTGAAGATATCAAGTCTGACCTGCCGCACAAACCACTTCCATCTGAGGACAAGACTTTCAATAAATGGAGGTAGTCACTCTCACGGTTGGACTCATTTTGATCATGCCACTTGCGTTCAACTTAATTACTGGCTGCACGCAAATGTACCTTTTGCTGTAAACATACTTATTTTAGCGAGAGATTTATTTCAGCGCTTTTTGCACTTTAAATTTTGTATGCGTCAATAGAATTTCCTGTACACTGTCTTTTTTACATATTTTATGGGTGCAGCAATTACTCAATGCACTAAACTGATTAACAATTGATAATGCGCTGAGTTTTTAGTTCACTAAAATAAGTACATTTACAGTATATATTTCTAAAAACATTCCTCTCTGAAATCGTTATCATTGCGGTAAAGCTCTGATGTAATTCTTAAAAATGACATTTTACAAAGATCCAGCGTATTATTCAAAATATTTGCATAGAAATTATTGACATGATGTGCAGTGAAGGAATTCATCATGATCACTAACGTTTCTTTATGCTTTTTTCCAGTCTTGATTTCCCAAGAAACCCAAGGTTGACCTACCTGTATCCTCCTCCTAACATGTCAATCATCAGCAATATAGCCAACACTGTGGCAGCTTTCCCCAAACTTTATGTTCAGGTAAGGACGCTCACCATCCATGTATATCAGTCATCAGCAATATAGCCAACACTGTGGCAGCTTTCCCCAAACTTTATGTTCAGGTAAGGACGATCACCATCATGTATATCAGTCATCAGCAATATAGCCAACACTGTGGCAGCTTTCCCTAAACTTTATGTTCAGGTAGGACGATCACTATCCATATCAGTCATCAGCAATATAGCCAACACTGTGGCAGCTTTCCCAAAACTTTATGTTCAGGTAAGGACGCCCACCATCCATATCAGTCATCAGCACTATAGCCAACACTGTGGCCGCTTTCCCCGAACTTTATGTTCAGGTAAGGACGATCACCGTCCATATCAGTCCTCAGCAATATAGCCAACACTGTGGCCGCTTCCCCCAAACTTTATGTTCAGGTAAGGACGCTCACCATCATGTATATCAGTCATCAGCAATATAGCAAACACTGTGGCCGCTTTCCCCAAACTTTATGTTCAGGTAAGGACGATCACCGTCCATATCAGTCATCAGCAATATAGCCAACACTGTGGCAGCTTTCCCCAAACTTTATGTTCAGGTAAGGACGATCACCGTCCATATCAGTCCTCAGCAATATAGCCAACACTGTGGCAGCTTTCCCTAAACTTTATGTTCAGGTAAGGACGCTCACCATCATGTATATCAGTCATCAGTAATATAGTCAACACTGTGGCAGCTTTCCCCAAACTTTATGTTCAGGTAAGGACGCTCACCATCATGGATATCAGTCATCAGCAATATAGCCAACACTGTGGCAGGTTTCCCCAAACTTTATGTTCAGGTAAGGACGCTCGCCATCATGTATATCAGTCATCAGCAATATAGCCAACACTGTGGCAGCTTTCCCCAAACTTTATGTTCAAGGCTTTGTCAAGGCAGCACCAGATTACTAGGTCTGACCTTTTGAAATAAGAGAACAACTTTGGTCCAACCTTTTGGATTGCAATAAACAAAAGCGGCCCAGGACTCCATAATATTTTATAGACTACATGTACTTCAATTATAAAATCTGTGAGAGATGACACATACAGGGACTTTGACTCTATCATAAAAAAAACATGACGCTATCATAAAAAAACAGAAAGGTGCCTATTAGTTACATGATATTGAGCATTAATTAACCTTGGATTTCAAACGGAGATTTTCTATATTTTGTTTTCCAGGTTCTACATTTGATGAACAAGATGAATCTCCCATCCCCATTCGGGGCCCTTACAGCTCAACCCCCTCTGGTAAAGTATCCTATATCCTACTATGTAACTCCTCAGGGAGAGCATCCTCGGTATCCAGGGGTTACGCTCACTTTCGCTCTCATCCTCGATATCCAGGGGTTACAGTCTCTCTCGCTCTCTACACCCCTGGAATATGTCACACTCGATATCCAGGGGTTACGCTCACTTTCGCTCTCCTCCTCGGTATCCAGGGGTTACGCTCACTTTCGCTCTCATCCTGGATATCCAGGGGTTACGCTCACTTTCGCTCTCTACACCCATGGAATATGTCACCCTCGATATCCAGGGGTTACGCTCCCTTTCGCTCTCATCCTCAGTATCCAGGGGTTACGCTCACTTTCGCTCTCATCCTCGGTATCCAGGGCTTACGCTCACTTTCGCTCTCATCCTCAGTATCCAGGGGTTACGCTCACTTTCGCTCTCATCCTCGATATCCAGGGGTTACAGTCTCTCTCGCTCTCTACACCCCTGGAATATGTCACACTAGATATCCAGGGGTTACGCTCACTTTCGCTCTCGTCCTCGGTATCCAGGGGTTACGCTCACTTTCGCTCTCATCCTCGGTATCCAGGGGTTACGCTCACTTTAGCTCTCTACACCCCTGGAATATGTCACCCTCGATCTCCAGGGGTTACGCTCACTTTCGCTCTCTACACCCCTGGAATATGTCACACTCGATATCCAGGGGTTACACTCACTTTCGCTCTCAGCCTCGATATCCAGGGGTTACAGTCTCTTTCGCTCTCTACCCCCCTGGAATATGTCACCCTCGATATCCAGTGGTTACGCTCACTTTCGCTCTCTACACCCATGGAATATGTCACCCTCGATATCCAGGGGCTACGCTCACTTTCGCTCTCTACACCCCTGTAATATGTCACCCTCGATATCCAGGGGTTACGCTCCCTTTCGCTCTCATCCTCAGTATCCAGGGGTTACGCTCCCTTTCGCTCTCATCCTCAGTATCCAGGGGTTACGCTCCCTTTCGCTCTCATCCTCAGTATCCAGGGGTTACGCTCACTTTCGCTCTCCTCCTCGGTATCCAGGGGTTACGCTCACTTTCGCTCTCATCCTCAGTATCCAGGGGTTACGCTCACTTTCGCTCTCTACACCCATGGAATATGTCACCCTCGATATCCAGGGGTTACACTCCCTTTCGCTCTCATCCTCGATATCCAGGGGTTACAGTCTCTCTCGCTCTCTACACCCCTGGAATATGTCACCCTCGATCTCCAGGGGTTACGCTCACTTTCGCTCTCTAGACCCCTGGAATATGTCACCCTCGATATCCAGGGGGTACGCTCACTTTCGCTCTCTACACCCCTGGAAAATGTCACCCTCGATATCCAGGGGTTACCCTCACTTTCGCTCTCATCCTCGATATCCAGGGGTTACAGTCTCTCTCGCTCTCTACACCCCTGGAATATGTCACACTAGATATCCAGGGGTTACGCTCACTTTCGCTCTCTCCCCCCCTGGAATATGTCACCCTCGATATCCAGGGGGTACGCTCACTTTCGCTCTCTACACCCCTGGAATATGTCACACTCGATATCCAGGGGTTACACTCACTTTCGCTCTCATCCTCGATATCCAGGGGTTACAGTCTCTTTCGCTCTCTACACCCCTGGAATATGTCACCCTCGATATCCAGGGGTTACGCTCACTTTCGCTCTCTACACCCCTGGAATATGTCATAGCAAAATCGAAGGCTCTGTGTGCACGATCTTGTTGATGAGACAAGAAGACTAGTTTGATCCTTTGATGTACATCAAAAGAATTTTGTGGTCATGTAACAGTAAAAATTGACAGGCTTTAAAGTCGGGCGCCTCTCCTTTGTAATCTTCAAAGGGCAGGTATCAGCCTAACATTTGGTCAGGTGTTTTTTTTACCTGAGACCAATCAAACAGCTATCATCGTGCCTTCAATTTTGCTATGACATATTCCAGGGGTGTAGAGAGCGAAAGTGAGCGTAACCCCTGGATATCAAGGATGCAGGGAGAGTTGATCATTGATCGTGATGACATTTTGCTGGAGATCAGATTTGAATTTGAAGAAGTATTATAATGTCAACTATGTTTTGACCTATCCTTATCATACAATGACAAATCACTTTTGCTGTACATAAAACAGCTCACATTGAAACCAGGACTAACACAGTTTGATACCATGATTTTGATTACCGATTAAATAATCAAAGAATAGCTGTTATTTCTACCAAAAAATGCAGATATATGATTCATTTTTAGATAATTTATGAACAACATTAAGAAATGCTTTTTAATGAATATTCAATGTCTATTGTTAATTGAAATGATTACTGTGCAAATTGTATAGATCAGTCTTGTGTTCCTCAGGCCTATGAGCAGCCAGCCCCGCCTCCGGAGCCTCAGCCTGTGGAGGCAGCAAGTTCTGAGGAGTCTGAAATAGAAAGTGATGAAGACAGGGAGAGGTGATTATAGATGTACTGTGACATGTATTTCTCTCCTATCAGAATTCCACATTAAGAAAACTATAATATTATAGCTTATCCCAGGTAAATCACTGTTAAATTGGTTAAACAAGTACTGTGGTTGAGGCGTCCTTGTCAATACATCCCCTTCCTTGTAGGAGCCTTCCCAAAACTACTAAAACCTGGTTTGGAATTTTTCAATTTCCTAATAGTTTGTTACAAGACATACTTTATGAATGAGTTCATTTTAAAATAGCTCTCAACTCATGATTATTTAGATCCATATTTGGTCAACAATCTTTGAAGAGACCTGCTTTGTCCAAGTCCTCCAGACCAATAAAGGTTCCACGGCTCGTTCTGGAGAAAGAAACCCCACGACCGGTTCCCACTGGCCCTGTGTTATTAGCCGAAGATGTCTTTGAACAGGCCAATCAGACAGCTGGCATTAAGAAGATTCAACTCAAACTCCCAGAAACGGTGGTCAAAGAAACCTGTGTACAACCAATCGAAGACCAGGCTATAACAGATAAAGGTAATAGTATAAGTTAGACTTACATCAGACTGTAGTGCAATTTTCATGGTGTTTCCATGGAGATCATCATTGATCTGCTGTCCATGTTGCCACACCTGGGACCTGTATACTGTTTACCGGACAAACTTTTGTCTAATTGAAAATTCACCCTTTTCTGATAAAATCCATGTTTGACAAATAGGCGAAGGTCATACTGCTGCGAAAAATTTCCTAGTATTCAGTTTATTTTCTCTCTACTTTTTGCAGTACATGTAAGGTGTATCTCCCTAACCTGTTAAGCACTTCTTATTGTTTAGATGTCGCACCAATTAAAGTGGGTGGTGTATCATGCTGTGTTTCCAGATTAAGACCTATTTTTAGTGTGATGATATAGTGGAATGGCCATAAGTTGGTCCTATTCTTGGTGTTAGCTGTTACAGAGACCTGGAATCTGAATCTGGTATTGAACAAACAATACTAAATCTTTCTATTAATTATAACATTTCCTCTGTAGAAGATTAATATTACAGTATAGCATGGGAAATGATGTAAAATGGGTATTATTGCCTTTGAGGAGAACAAGGTTATGGGACAAGAAATATATTACATGGTACTAGGCATTACACAGTATATATAGGTGACTTAAGCTGTGGAAAATATTTGTTTTAAAAGGACAAAGGGTTGTTACAAAACACACTGAACACCAAATCGCTGCATCCATAAAACAGACCTTATCCATATCACGGATAAGGCTTTCTTCAAAAATATTAATATGTCCTTTTTAACAGAGTTTTTAAATACCAAAAAACCAAAAATCTTCTATTTCCACATTTAATGCTCACACATTATATAGGATCATACATGTAACAATGTAAACATCAACGACAGTGCTTAATGATACACATCCTGGCATCTACTCGGGCCTTCGCGGGCCTTCTCGGGCCTTCACTGTCCATCAACGACAGTGCTTAATGATACACATACTGGAATCTACTCGGGCTTTCTCGGGCCTTCTCGGGCCTTCACTGTCCATCAACGACAGTGTTTAATGATACATATACTGGAATCTACTCGGGCCTTCACTGTCCATCAACGACAGTGCTTAATGATACACATACTGGAATCTACTCATGCCTTCTCGGGGCTTCACTGTTCTGTCTCTCCAGAGTGCACACCCCCCCCCCTTTCTGGACCTCAACCTTTGACACCAGACTCTCAGGGTAACAAGTGACTCTTTAAAATTCTCTGAAACTCCCTCAGTATCTTTTTTACCGCAAAGTGTTTTTTGAAGTAAGTGACTTTCCGATAACAACCAAGCTGAACACAATCGAAAAAAATATATGTGTTTGCATTATTTGATATAAATTCTAATGACTGTTGACATTGTGGTAACATACTGTTACAGGGAGTGTTTTGTTCCTGTTTTAGAAACTGTTTCCCGAGAGGAAGGCAGTGGATTTGGAAAAATAGCTCCAACAGAAAAGGTTTGTCCTGTTTTACAATACTTTGTGATGGATATCGTGCACTATATTCACAACTAAACATATTATTATACCCAGATATGAGTTAAATATTAACACAACCGGAGACCACCACTTTTGCCGTTATACAAAGAACCGAGTCAACTTTGTCATAATTACATATCCCCTTTCTATACAAGTACTTCGTTTTTAATATACTGTATCTCTCCTGATTCAACCGGAAAAACGAAATTTCAGCTATTTTCATCCAAATTTACAAATTTTTAGCTCACCTGACACCTGGCCAAAAGATGTGCCGTGGTGCGGAGTCCATCGTCCGTCCGGCGTTAATTTTTTAATTTAAACAACTTCTTCTTAATAACCAAAAGGCCTAGGGTGATGATATCTGGCCAGAAGCAAACTGGGATGAATAGCTACCAAGTTTGTTCAAATAAATGACCTTCATCTATTTTCAAGGTCACAGGGGTCAAATATGTTAAAAAAAAAAAAAACTTCTTCTGAATAACCAAAAAGCTTAGGGTTATGATATTTGGCAAGTAACATGCTGGGATGAAGGGCTACCAAATTTGTTAAATTGAATGACCATGACAAATATTCAAGGTCACATTGGTCAATATATGTTTAAATCTTTAAATGACTTGTTCTGTATAACCAAAATGTCCAGGGTAATGATAGTTTGCCAAAAGCATGCTCAACCTAATGTCCTTGTTCGACATTCAAGGTCACAGGCGTCATATGTTTAAATCGTTCAAGGTCACAGGCGTCATATGTTTAAAACGTTCAAGGTCCCAGGCGTCATATGTTTAAATCGTTCAAGGTCCCAGGCGTCATATGTTTAAATCGTTCAAGGTCCCAGGCGTCATATGTTTAAATCGTTCAAGGTCCCAGGCGTCATATGTTTAAATCGTTCAAGGTCCCAGGCGTCATATGTTTAAATCGTTCAAGGTCACAGCGTCATATGTTTAAATCGTTCAAGGCCACAGGCGTCATATGTTTAAATCGTTCAAGGTCACAGGCGTCATATGGTTAAATCGTTCAAGGTCACAGGCGTCATATGTTTAAATCGTTCAAGGTCACAGGTGTCATATGTTTAAATCGTTCAAGGTCACAGGCGTCATATGTTTAAATCGTTCAAGGTCACAGGCGTCATATGTTTAAATCGTTCAAGGTCACAGGCGTCATATGTTTAAATCGTTCAAGGTCACAGGCGTCATATGTTTAAATCTTTTAATAGGTTCTTATGAATCAAACACTGATATTCTGCCTGAAGCTGTATTTTAGTCAACTTTTAAGATTACAAGTGTGAGATTAATACCAGGTGAGCAATTCAGGCCCATTGGGCCTCTTGTTTACTTTGACAAAGTTGGTTTGCTACTGATTTACTTTTACACTAGAAGTATACATTCCCCCTAGCCTTAATATACCATGTAAGTACCAGGTCATTTGATGTATATTCCAGAAACTTGTATCTCGGAAATGACGTATTGTGGTATTACAATCAATTCTTTATGATATAATAACAACTAGTTTCTACTGTTTTGCCCAATATAACTTTATTTTGTTGACAAGACGTTTAAATGAATCAAACAGATCTATCTGTTGCTTTTGCAACATCATTTTGGCCAAATGAAATAACAGTGTAAGTACAGTAAGTGACAGGCCCCGGGGATGCATTATCTCTGACTCAAAGTAAAAGAGTTGAGCTTATTACAGGACAGTGAAGATACAGATGAGCTAATTACCATGCATGGGTTTATATCCGTATGAATACTATAGAGTGTGTTGAGATAGCTTTTATCAATGACAATCTGTGTTATTTACTGTACATATTTCTGTTTCAGCCGAGTGTAGAAATAGAGATGAAGGACTCTAACCTTCCCTACTCAGTGGACCCTAGTCTCTTCCTTAAAACCGAGCAAATCCAGAAAGGTCGGATCTCAACCAGTGGTAAGTGCTGTTCCTATGCAATGTCACTCCACATTGTTATATACATTTGTATTGATATAATGATGTACATTAATGTTAGGTGTCCGAATCAGTGTTGAGTATCACCTTGATTTGACTACATCACTAGAACGTTTGTATTCTATATACTGTAAAGCATTTAATTGATCCTGAATAATTCAAGTGAATAGTATGCCGTATTGAAAGAGTTGTGTTTATGTGACGCACATGACAAGGTCGTACAGATGAAGGGATCATATCCTTCCCTTAGGCGGATAATGCATTAATAATGTCTTAGTCTTGTGACTGTCTTGTGATAATCTCATATTTCTATACTTCAGCAAAAATCATGTGAAGACACACATCACAATTAAGAGCAACTTTACAGCAACATTGTATATGTTAAATATGAGGCTATTCATTGATTTGATATTTATAACAATTCCAGTAAAACACCCATCCAACCCCAGGAATCCCTGTGATATGCCTTCAGAGTTTTATTATTGATATTTTGCATTACATAGAAGTAATAGGCAGAAAACCTGACTAGGAATAGAAGTGATTTGTCTCGGAGTGCTAGGGTCAGGCAGATTTTGCTGGAGAACCGCCCCTAAGCAGTTTTATGATTTTGGCACTTTTTTAAAAACAATCTGCTGAAACTAATACATCAGTTTCACAGAACTGTGTTTCAGTCATACTTGTAAATCAATCTGCTGAAACTAATACATCAGTTTCACAGAACTGTGTTTCAGTCATACTTGTAAATCAATCTGCTGAAACTAATACATCAGTTTCACAGAACTGTGTTTCAGTCATACTTGTAAATCAATCTGCTGAAACTAATACATCAGTTTCACAGAACTGTGTTTCAGTCATACTTGTAAATCAATCTGCTGAAACTAATACATCAGTTTCACAGAACTGTGTTTCAGTCATACTTGTAAATCAATCTGCTGAAACTAATACATCAGTTTCACAGAACTGTGTTTCAGTCATACTTGTAAATCAAACGGAACAGTTGTTAACGCAAATGGTAAGGAAAGTTAGGGATTAAAAATCGTACATCCAAAATATTTAATAACTATTCCGTCTTTGCGTATTGCAGAGTTATCTTCTCTTGTGAGCAGGTATTGATTGTTACGTCATTGGTTTGTGAGAGTAACGTCATCAATTTTTGAGAAAACGACGTAACTTTCTCACACAAACCAATGACGTAACAATCAATACCTGCTCACAAGAGAAGATAACTCTGCAATACGCAAAGACGGAATAGGAGATTGGATACTACATAATTATGTCCTTTCTAGTTTATAATAAATATTTTATTTTTACAGAAATGAAGAACTTCTCCGTGTTTAAACGATATGATGCAGGTGAACCAACAACAAGACTTTACATAAAAAACCTGGCAAAGCATACAACAGAACAGGTACAGACTAGGGGCTTCTTATATAGGTCATAGCCCCACTGTAGACCAAAATGGACTTCTCCAGATCAATGAATGGTAGAGTTTATATAAAGTTACATAGGGGTGAAAGGCTTAAAAAATTGACCCAAGTAGCATTTCATTGGGTGGAATAATATGCTGGGTGCTATTAGAATGTTACATGTATTTCAGTGAGATAGATCTGCACTATCGCAAGGAGGCAAATATACCAATGTACCACCTCCAGCAGACATACACAATGTCACAAATGCGCATTAAATGTTAAAATGACATTAAACTCAGCCTTTAACCAAGATTTTTTATTGGGTTGATAAATCATTATAGTGACAAGAACTTATAATTTTTCTATCACATGACATTCACACTTGAGTTTCACAGAGGTTCAAATGTCACAAAATTGAAATTCATCACTCTGACAGGGGATGAAAACTGAATGGCCCTATGTACTATATTTGGGTATTCGTGATGTTATATTCCAAACCTCAGTGGCTAATACCTTTACATCTTGACAACAAGCTGTGACATCGGCCCCTTTCGCATATCCAGTTCAACCTGTTGAAATGGGTAAACCTGTTAAGAAAACGACAGGCACAGATTTGAACTGAGGCTGACCTCCGGAATATTTGGCACATGTAGATTTAGGGGTCCAGACGTACCTGACCGAAACTAAAATGCTGACTATTGCTAGTTTGCTTTATTTCTTTCTAAAACAATGTCAAGCCATTTGTAGTTTTTAAGATACGTAATGTGATTCAGTGGACACGTGAAAGAATGGCATAATATTCTTGAAACGTTGTTATTTATTCTCCGAAAACTGTGCTTATTTAGCACTGCTTATACAACAGTCCAAGTGTGTTCGTTTATCGTTGAATATTTCTGCGCCACCTGTACTGTTTCAACCGAGACACGCGAATGTAACCCTATTCTTTTTTAGTAAGGTCAAGATTCCCAGACTTATCTTGAATAATACTTTCTGTTTTCGAGACCATTTTATTTTAAAGCCATTTGAAAAGTTAGTTGTGGAATGCTTATTATCAAGATGTTCTCACGTTCAGTACCTTTTAGAATTGAAAGTAACTAAATGTAGTGTATAACATAGAAGAGTTGTATTTTAAACCTGTTTTCTTTCTTTTCAGGACATTGTCAACCTGTATGGACAGTACGTGAACTGGCAATCCGATCTTCATAAAAACATGTAAGTGAAGATATCCAGTTGTAATCTGTATCACCCATATTTCTGAGAGTTGATATTATGGGGGACATCTGTCCATCTACAGTAGTTCTTCAGAGATCTTCTTTCTTCCACAGTCATTAAACATTAGTAAGCTGGTTTAGGCTGTGGTGTACTTTACTTTTTACTGCTCTTTAAATTATATTCTGCGTTAATATATAAATTATCTAGAAAATTACTAAATTTGTACTTGTTATTGCAGTGCAATGTTGGTGTCAATATTGATTAAAATCCCAGATGAAAGATGGGAGGATAATAGTCAGTCAGTATGTAGATATGGGGAAATCGAAATTCTACGGGGGCCACGGTGGCCAAGTGGTTAAGGCGTCTAACATTCTGCTACCACTAGCCCTCCACCACTGGGTCGCGGGTTCGAGACCTACGTGGGGCAGTCCCCAGGTACTGGCTGTTGGTCGGTGGTTTTTCTCTGTGAAATATAATTTTCACATTTCAAAAAAATGTATAATAATGATATATGTACATGCTGCATGGTATATGACAGGTTTGTTTTGCCCTTCAGGTTTGATGTGAGACTGATGAAGGAAGGTCGTATGAAAGGTCAGGCCTTTGTAACCTTTCCCACAGAAGAGGCTGCAGGTCGTGCACTCAAAGACACCAACGGTTATGTCATCAACACCAAACCCATGGTGGTTGTATCCTTCTTTGTTATATGTTAAAGGAAATATGTAGAAAATATCTCATTGAGGAATATTTTCATATATGTATTGGAGTTTATACTGTATGTAGGTGTTGCTGACATGTTAGAAATTTACAAATAGGTGAAAAACATTTTGAATACATATTGTATTCACAAAAAAATGAAAACTTTGATTACATTTGTATATTGCCATTCCACACCCTACTTACTCTCCTGCAGTATATCTGTAGGTAAGAGCAGGAAGATTTAATTCTGTCAGTCTTTTTCGGAAAGAGATGTTTTACATTCCTAGAGGATTATATTTGATAGAGTATATTGACCAAAGTACATTTGATTACGAATGCATCTATATTGCATAGTTCTTATTTCCTGATCTAAATATTGTTGGCACCTAAACTTGACCCTTACTTAGGTAACTACGAACACCTGTTTATGCTTCTACATATAGGGCATCTCACTTCCATTTCAGACAACCTAAAACGTTGTCGAAAACAGCTTGATCGTTTATTATAATATATCGGTTATTATAATATTTTTCTCTGGCATATAAAATATCAAAATAATCAAGTTCTACTGTAAAATAAACAAAATGACCTTAAAAACAAGTTGAAAAAATCCTTAACTCAGTTTCCAGCAATTTGCAAGGTCAGCAAAGGCTAAAGACTGAAGCGAGACATCTAACATGAAATCCAGAGAATCGGAGGAGAAGCTATTTCCCTGCGAGGAGGATCACCCAAGGTGATGACCAACGGCACAGGCATGTTGAGTCAGTCAAATGGTGACACAGAGACATTAAAACTACCTCAGCATGACTTCAACATAAAACCACCTGACGAGTGACAAGGGATACTAAAACCAATTCCTAATGACAAGGAACAGGAATGATATTTCCAAGCGACCAAATCTGTTCTAAAAAATACAGGACCAGAATCATGGAAAAATTCCTAGTGAGAAGTGACATAAAGACTACTTCCAAGAAACAAGAATACTAAATGGTTTTTTCAGTGACATAAAGGAAAACAATCGTGCTTCCCAGTTACCAGGGATACAAGAAGGCTTTGTTACAAGGGACCTAACTCTATCTCACAGTCATACGATGGTATTAGCCCCATGACAGTAACAAAGGGGAGACAGAATATTTCCCTGTGACAAGGAATAAGATCATAAGAATCATATTTTCCAGTTACAAAGTACCAAAAAATAATTCCCAGTGGCCAAATACATGATACATCTTATTTATTTCAAAATTTCAATGAAATTAACCCTACCGTTAGCAACAAGGGAAATAAAAGAATAAATTTTCACAAATAATACTAGAAAATCAGATACATTTAGATGTTGAATAAATTCTTGAACCAACAGCAAGCATAGTTTTGTGTTACTAAGTATGTTTCTATTAGTCAAAAACAAACTGATCAATGTAAGTATATTTGCCTGTCGAATAGTTTTTGTATTTAAATCTTACATGGTTGAACATGTTCATCTCTGATCACATTTTAATTGCTGACTGCAAACAGAACACAATATGTCATTTAAACATGCACACATTTATTTTGTTGAAATTTAAGACAAAGGCTATGATATTTTAAAGTACAATCTTACAATCAATAACAAATCAAAGTCACTTGTCTTTGGATAGAACCGTTAGCTGGTTTAGCTTCTGTTTTTGAGAATATCCCTCTTCCTTCGCCCACACAGCCATCCTGTACATGTTGACGCTTTTGTCAAAGTCAGTTTCAGATCGAGGCACATCAAATCTAAATTGGTGGTTTTGTCTTTAAGCTCTGCTTTAACTGTGTAGTCGCCCTGTAAGACAAAATGAAAAAGACTACTGTAAAAGAAGAATCAAATAAAGGGAGATAAATCAAGTAACAGAAGGGAGATAACTCGTGATGTGGCACTTGCAATTACTAATTCAACCCTGAAATATATAATAAATTATTCCATCTTTTGAATTGGAAGAGTTTAAATGCATCTCTAGTGGTGAGTGAGTTGAAATGGAGTAAACCTGAAAGTAGATGTAACCTGAAATAAACCTGAAATAACCTGTTTAGGGAAGAAGTTTACATGCATACTGACGCTAGGTAATTATGACTTACAGAGCTCTAACTGTAGCTTATTAATGATGACATAGGTTATACTTACTGATGCTAGTCAAATACTGTATACAAATTAAAACGTATATGTCCAATGAAGTCAAAGGTCGTGTAGAATTTTCCCTGAATACACCTGTCTATTGAAAGCCCATTATAGTGTACTTGCACTGGTACATCATGCACAGCCATAGGCGAGATTTGTACATACATACGCTAGCCATGGTTGAGATTTGTGCATACAAACGCTAGCCATGGTTGAGATTTGTGCATACAAACGCTAGCCATGGTTGAGATTTGTGCATACATACGCTAGCCATGGTTGAGATTTGTACATACAAACGCTAGCCATTGGTGAGATTTGTGCATACAAACGCTAGCCATGGTTGAGATTTGTGCATACAAACGCTAGCCATGGTTGAGATTTGTGCATACAAACGCTAGCCATGGTTGAGATTTTTACATACAAATGGTTGCCATGGGTGAGATTTGTACATACAAACGCTAGCCATTGGTGAGATTTGTACTTAATGACACTAGCCATGGGTGAGATTTGTCCTTACTGACACTAGCCATGGTTGAGATTTTTACATACAAATGGTTGCCATGGGTGAGATTGTACATACAAACGCTAGCCATTGGTGAGATTTGTACTTAATGACACTAGCCATGGGTGAGATTTGTCCTTACTGACACTAGCCATGGGTGAGATTTGTACGTACTGACACTAGCCATGGGTGAGATTTGTACTTACTGAAGCCAGCCAGCTTAGAACTGACGGAACCGAGGGTAAAGTGATGGCATATTCCGTCAGAACGAGTTGAGAGGAAGGAATTGGACAGACGCTTGGGTTGATACCAGCTGACAACAGCATTGTTTTAACCTGTGTAGCAAGGCCTGCCGTAATGGTCCCCCAGTTCTCACTGATCGCCTGATCCACCAATGTACATATGTCATCGTAGGTACTGAAGGAGAGAAATGACAGACAATGAGGCTCGGGTTTCCAATGAGAGCTAACCATGGTATCATAGTAAATTATATTAAGTTAGATTTGATCACATAACGAAAAATTACACTGCAGCTCTTCATAATTAGCGACTGATATAACAGCAAGGAAGGGATATCTGTAAACAGTCCTCTTTAACCCTATAAGGAAAAAAAATCTCTCAGTTCTTCATAATTCACTTCCGTCATACAGATTTTATTTTCCTCTGTGCATATTTAATATCACGACTGAAACGGCGAGAGAAGAAAAACTACAGAAATTATTTATTAATCATCTTATTTCACAGAATACTTTCTATGACATTTCTGGTTTGGAGACGTTTTATTAGCTCACCTGGTCCTAAGGACCAAGGTGAGCTTATGCCATACCATGGCGTCCGTCGTCTGTCCGTCTGTCCGTCCGTCCTCCGTCGTCTGTCCGTCAACAATTTCTTTAAACGACTTCTTCTTCTTAACCACTGATTGGAATTTAACTAAATTTGACTGGAAGCATCCTTATGTGGTGGGGAATCAAAATTGTACAAATGGTGGGGCTAACCCCCCAGGGGGCTAAGGGGCGGGGCAAAAAGGGGGCAATTTTGCTATATTGCTTTAAGAGACTTCTTCTCTGGAACTAAGAAATGGATATCAACCATATTTAACTAGAAGCATCCCTAGGTGATGGAGATTCAAAATTGTACAAATGGTTGGGCTGAACCCCCAGGGGGCTGAGGGGCGGGGACAAAAAGGGTTATTTGGCTATATTGCTTTAAGCGACTTCTTCTCTGGAACTAAGTGATGGATATCAACCATATTAGACTGGAAGCATCCCTAGGTGGTGGGGACTTCTTCTGTAAAACTATGCCATGGATATCGATCATATTTGGTCGGAAGCATTCATGGGAGGCAGGGATTCAAAATTGAACAAATGGTGGGGCTGACCCCCCGGGCTAAGGGGTGGGGCCAAAAAAAGTTTATTGCCTGGAAATGGTTGAGATCCCCACCATATAACCACATAAACAATTGCTGAGTATAAAGAGAAGAATGCACATTTGCTTTCAGGATGGCTATAGGGTCTGGCCCCACCCTTGGAAACATCGTCCTTGGGCCATAACTTTAAAACGGCTGAGATCCCCACTCAAAAACTATATATACAAATGCTGGGCATAAAGAGACGAATGCAGTCACAATATTAGAATAGACCCTTGGGTCTGACCGAACCCCTNATGAATGCACATATGCTTCCAGGATGGCCTTGGGGACTGCCCCACCCTTGGAGACTTAACCCCTGGGTCATAACTTTGAAATGGTTAAGATCCCCACCCCAAAACTATATATACAATTGTTGGGCATAAAGAGACAAATGCAGTCATGATATTAGAATTGACCCCAGGGTTTACCCCACCCTTGCAGACTTAACCCCTGGGTCATAACTTTGAAACGGTTGAAATCCCTACCCCAAAACTATATATACAAATGCTGGGCAAAAAGAGACAAATGCAGTCATGATATTAGAATTGATCCTGGGGTCTGGCCACAACCGTAGGGACCGAGTTTCTGAGTCACAACTTGGAAACAGTTGAGATCCCCACCTCATAACCATACATAAAATTGCTGGGCATGAAAAATTGAATACAGATATATATGCTACAAGGATTGGCCTTGGGATCTGGCATATTCCCTTGGATCTCATTTGGAGAATATTCTGCCATGATTGCTTAGATATCCAGGTGAGCGATACAGGCCCTATGGGCCTCTTGTCTTCTTATGTTTTGTCCATTTACGTCCAGGACAACTCGAGAAAAACTGAATATTTAAATGATAAACGTGTCAACCTATTTTATGACCTACCACGATCCCAGGTTTAGAAGGCAGGGGATGGGGATGCTGAGCAGGAACGTATCTCGATGTAGGGTGATTGACAGCTTAGCGTTGTCAAGGGGGTGTGTCGTGTTGCCACGTACTGTCAGTTTCATAACGCCAGGCAATTCGATGGGGTCAGGGGTCACAGCTATTGTTTCCACCGTAACGGCCCCGTTTGAATCTAAAACAGTAAAATAATGATATTTGAATTACATGTACGTTATGACAAAAACAAATCATAAGAAAAAATGCCACTTCAGGAGTAGTGAAGTCACGTGACCAATATTTCCACTAATTCAATCGATGGTAAAATATATGTGAAAAAATCTTGACGGGGTTAAATTTCAGTTTTTCTTGTCAGTTATTTTTCTTCATATCAGAGCCAGATAATATAGTTCAACATAAACTGTGACTGCTACTTTAAAAAATCTTGACGAAAAAAGTCTGACTGAATATCGTTAATAAAAAGAATCCGAGAATTAAGACATTGGAAACTCCAGCTTTAAACCTATTTAGGAAAATTAATGTCCAACAAAAACGTATTGCCGTTCGTTTGAGATTTAGTAATTGACAAAGGGCCGGTTTCCAAAACGGCCCCTTCTCTGATTCCTGTTGGTGGTGCATTGCCCATGCCGTTGTGGTCACAAATCTATAAAGTATAAAGATTTAGGTCACTTGGTTTGTTTTTTATGGCTCCTCAAAGTTGTACCTTTCAGAAGCTGTCTAAGTGTTGATAAAATGTGCATGTTATGTAAAATATTAATGAAAATCTAATCAAATGATGGTCACCGTAAAGAATACATTCATGGCATGATTGTGACAAAAA